AAAATATGCCCTTTACCTTTAGAAAACCAGATATCGAGAATTTCCTGCAAACTAGTGTCGACGACTGTGTTCTGTGATCTATCCATCCACAATCATGCTTCACGCGATCAGCCACCCCCCTTGGCCACCCTTTCGTCTTAACTATGCTCCAAGCCTGGATGAACAATACAAACAGGAAATTCTTCTCATTCCTCAAGCGGTTGCAAAAAATCGTCAAAAATTCGACTATGATACCATTTATTGTGCAAACAAACACAACGGAAACAAAATCGTACTGCACAAACACAATGAACAGGATAATTTATGTTGTTTAGTGAAGATGTCTACGTTCACAGGGAGGGGATGATTTCACTATATTAGAGAATAATAGAAAATTTCAATAGCTCTCATGATCTCTCCCTTACTATCATGCAGTCCTTAAACCTCAATTTATAGAGATTTATGGAAACAAAATCTAAAAAACTTCCTAATCTATGCATCAATTAAATCCCAATCAAATCAACTATTTAAGGACATAATCAATTCTCTAATTAATACATTAAATGAATATCAAAGCTTTCCAAAGAATCTAATTTGATTTTAAAAATAATTCCAAATCAACATGGACGACATCCGGACTCTGCACGTAATAATATTTCTTTTACTTGAGAGGTGATCTACTGAAAAAGGAAAAAAGAACTATGACACACTAATATCTTGTGAATCAAGAAAAGTAATTTTAATTCTATGTTTATTTATATTATAATTTATCTAGTGGAAATCATTTGATGGTCGTCAAAATCATCTAAGTCCAAATTTGATTCAAATTGATTAAAATGTTCAAAATTGTTTTGATTTCACTTTACACTTGTTCGCAAATTGATTGGTTTGATTTAGATTTAGGATTTTAATAAACTGAATAAATTATTTGAAGTTTTTTTTTTTTAAACTCTCAGAGGGGCCTACGCGTTAATGTCAAAAATCGGTTACAAGGTCCTTAAAAGGATCCTCCAGCTCACTACTGCTCATAAGAGCTACAGGCAAAAAAGAATAAAAAAAACCTAAGAGCCGGAGGTTCCTTATCCTACGAGTACAAGAAAAACTAAAATAAAGACAAGGGCTGTGAGTAAGCAGCACTCAAAAAAGGAAGGGCAGATAGATCCCATTCAGCTCGAACTTCCTGCAAAAATATATATTGATAGACTATGATAGAGAAAAAAAGGAATAATAGCAAATAATACCTTGCAGTCAATTGAGCTCCCTAAAGTAGATGATAAAGTATCCCTGCAAGAATTACTCCAAAAAGAAGAATTAGTAGAGTAGAAGATGACAGAAAAAAGAAACCCAAATAAATCCTTACTGAACCAAAACTGAATATTAATGAAAAAACCCACCATCATACCGGCCAGAAACCCAAAAATGCCAATACTCCAGCAAACTCTCCAGGCCATCAAATAACCAGAATTACTCCAGAGAACCCCAAAGCAATTCTCGGCCACAGAAAAAACACAGAGAGGTAAACCCCCCCCAGTGAAAAAAACAACCTGAAGCAAACACCTCCCGGCCACAACCTGAAGCAGTCAACCACCACAAACCAAACAATGAAATCAAGATACCAATTCAACAGCCACTAATAAACCTCCTGGCAGAACAGCCCCAGGCCAAACATGACAGGAAACACAACAGCCTCCAAAGCAGAAAACCACCTCCCCAGAAACTTGGGAGGAGCAGCCAAAGACCCCGCAGGAAGCACAAAACCCCCCAGGTTACTGAAACCGAAAAACTCCCCACCAAAATTAATGACACACATAAGGGTAACCACTTTGATCTAAATTAATGAGGCCCTGAATATGAACGGGCAACTAAGCAAAGGTAAAAACATTAAAATTCTTAAGCATAGTGCCCAAAATAGTCATATTATGAGCAACAACATTACCATCCGCCGCAATAAGGGAAAAAGAATATAAGAAAGATCTCAACTTATCTTTGATCATTCTCCGGATATAAAACTGAGAAGGCACACCCGTATTCTCATCTTTTTGCAAAAATAAAAGGCTGTCGTAAAAATCATCCACCTCCAAAACAATGTTCTTCAAATTCAAATTGAGGCAAAGATTTAACCCATGCAAAATACCCATAAACAAAGCATTGTGTCTATCATGAGCAATTTTCGGCCCAGCAAAAATAGAAATTCAATTACCAACATGATTTCTGATAATACCACCATAACCATAAATATCATTAACTTTGGCCCAAGCCACATTGACCTTAAAGCAATTCGGATTAGGTTTCCACCACTTACAATAAGAAGTTTTAACATTCCTGCAAACATCCTTCCCATTAATACCAAAAAAAGAGAGGATAAAATAATAATTCCTGAAATTATTTAGCACAATTAAATTGGATGAATATAAAGCAAGAACCTTGTATTTAATTTTTAAAATAATGCTCTGGTGATTCATCGGACCACCAATAAACCGAGAGTTATTCCTATCCAACCAAATATACCAACAAATGAGGGAAGAAATCACATTCTTAGTATGACCCTTAGATCTAACAAACCAACGGTCCAACAATTGATTAATACCATACGAACTATCATATAAATTCAGATGAAATAAATCTTCAAAAAACGTCCAAACTTTGACCGCAATATGGCTAGAAATAAAAACATGATGCATATTATCAACATGGAAACAACATTGTCATTTAGAAGTAATAATAAGACCTCTTCTCCGTAAATTTTCATCAGTAGGAATGTAGTTATGAAGGGTTCTCCACATAAAAACAGAAACAGTAAAGGGGATAGAATTATGCCAAATTCTGTTAAACAACTTAGAAGGCACCTTCTTACGATGAAAAGAATGCCAAGCTTGCTTGATATTGAAAGACCCATCTTTAGAACCCGAAAAGAGTAACACATCCTTCACATTAATATTAATAGGAACTTGTAAAATAAGTTGAATAATACCATCCAGTAAAACAGTAGCCAATTTCGATCTCCACATCCCAACCATTGACATTAAAGAAATAATTAACCTTCAATTGAGAAATAGAAGCAGTATTAAGTAAATGGTCAATAGACTCCCCATTAAGCCACATATCTTGCCAAAAGAAAATGTTCCCATTACCAAGACCCCACATTAAGGAAGCCTCCACCTTCCATTTAACAGAGCAAATACGATGCCAAACTTTAGAATTACCCCGAGAGAAGTAACACAGGGACGGGTGGTTACCACCACAATACTTGGACCTCATAAAATTAGCCCATAGAGACTCATTAGCCCTAACATTAAACCAAAGCTTAAAAGGAAAAGAATAAGCCATATCAAACATTTTGTCCCATTGTTATTTGAGCTTTTGTTGTCTAAATAAACCTAATATTTTATAATAATCTTTTGAAGAAAATACTAGAAACCTACTCTAAACTAAACCTTAGAAAAATTTATAATATCTTTTAATGCTTTTAAGAAAGAAAATAAAAGAGTTTTTAAGAGAGTCCTTTATAACAATTTGATTGAAATGCGTTGATACAATTCTAATGAAAGTACTACTAATATAAATAGTGGTGATATCTTAATTTATTATCAAGTAACGTGAGAAATAAAATAAGTAGCCTCTTTAATCTCCTGTCATCTTCTTCTTATCCTCAATAGCTGCTTCCATATCTTCCTTTTCTTTAGCCTTTTCTAGTTGTAAATAGCCTTCTCATTCCAACATAAATCCACATTAAAAAATATTCTATAAATAAGCGATTTATTTTGCAACATTTAAAAAAAAAATGAGATACAGTTCTTAAGTTTATAATCTAAAATAGCTAGAGATGTGTGGTTGTAAGATGAAATTTAAAACCTAAGTAAAACTAAACCAAACTAAATGGTTTGGCTCTATTTTATTCATTTTCAATTGATTTGATATTGATTTCTTTCTTTGATTATCAGATCAAATCAGTTTCATTCTAAATTGATTTCACACCTCTATCCACTTGATTTATTTTTTTGTGCAATTTGACAAGATTTTGTTCATTTTTTTGGACAGTGTCAGTTGATAACTTTGCAAGTTATGCACTCATTTTGTATATTTTTTATCTCTTATCAAACAATTATTTTATACAACTATCTTTTCAAAGTTTTTAATATTGTCAGCCATACCTTCAATTCACAAAAAAAAAAATCACTACATGAAGAAGAAAGCCACTCAAATACTGAGTACAAGGGCTTGATTACACAATACATACATAGCATTAAAACCTGTTTTTACTCTATTTTGCAACTCACCCATAATGGTGACCCATGTGGATGGAGGAGAAATTATTTTGTGCTGATGCTGAAAGTAATTTATCATCCAGAAATCATCCAGAATGCACCACATCAGCAGTACCAAGTCAGGTACCGAGCTGAGTACTGAGCAGGAGGTGACGTGGTGCGTTCTGTTTGATCTATGGACATTATTCGGCATCCACACAAAATATTTTTTTCTTGTGGAGGCTCTAATTTTTAACAATTATCCTCTTAGTGTGATATTTTATATGCACATGACTGGTGTTTTTCATCAGTCCACCTACATACCTTATACTAATCAATATAGTTGTGGGCAGTTCATTTAATTACAAAACCGTTTTTTTGTTTTTCCCCCTCTAAGCTATATAAGAATTTGATATCACACCAAGAATGATCAACTAAAACTGTCATTGCTTCCATATGTGGATTGAGTTGTTGAAGCGGGAGAGTCATCTTAGAAGAATATTTCTTCTGATTAAGACAACATTGTTAAGGAAGTTAAGCGGATAGGTGAGAAGAGGTTATGGGCCAATAGCCAAACACGCAAGTGTTGAGAATTGGATACAAGCACACACGTAATATAAGACTACTTTGTCGTGTATACAGAATTAAAATGACTTTTCATCCAAACCCTAAACCTAATATTTTCTTCCCTGATATATAGTTACGGTCATTTCTATCTTCTTCTAGCTAGCTGCTTTGTTCTCTTTATGTGTGGGCTCTCAGCTTTTAATGGAAAATTTAGATGCCGTAAAGACTGAGGACATGAAGACATGCCCACGCGGACACTGGCGGCCTGGAGAAGATGAGAAGCTGAGGCAACTTGTCGAGGAGTTTGGTCCTCAGAACTGGAACACGATTGCCGAGAAGCTGCAGGGAAGATCAGGTTCATGTGCTCTAAATACTTGCATGCTATATATATATAATCCTGCTAAGTTTGATATATACTTCTTCTATATATATATAATTCGACTGTGATCTTCTTCATCATAGTAGAACCACAAATCTATCATGCTCGAACTGATAAACCTAACAACAAAAACCAAATCCGTCTCCCTCCCTCTCTCTCTCTCTCTCTCTCTCTCTCTCTCTCTCTCTCTCTCCCTCTAATAATATGCATGAACTGGTGAAGACTAATTTCAGTTAGACTCTCTCTCTCTCTCTCTCTCTCTCTCTCTCTCTCTCTCTCTCCCTCTAATAATATGCATGAACTGGTGAAGACTAATTTCAGTTAGAAAAATTCCTCTGAATAAATTTTATAAGGGATTTTTGGATGAGAAATTTTTTTTTTCTTAAAAAAAAAATTCTCATCCAAAAAGTTAGCATATTTTCAGAATATATGTTTCTGCAGCATATCATTTATATGTAAAAATCATCATAATAGAAGAGATGATAGGCCCAATATCCTATATTTTTAGCATATACAATTTAGTGTGACTTAAAATCTTATTATTAATCATATATCTTTTAAAAATATTGAGTAAAATATCTCTTCACTCCCTTTATTTTTATCGTTAGCCACAATTTTTCAAGATCAATTATTGTTTGTGTGATTTGAAATACTTATGGCTAAAAATAACTATCTGTCATAATTTTATAAAAAAAATTAAAACTTTAATTATTCATTTATTTAACAGTCACATTTTTTCAAAATTTATAACCAAAAATCAAAATCGTGGTTGTAGTTATTGTTTCAAATCACAGTTTTAAAGAAAGTGTAATTCAAATTTAATATTTAATTATATTTTAAAAATAAAATATGATTACAATTCAAATTTATAATTTTGATATTTTTTGTAGGAAAAAGCTGTAGGTTGAGGTGGTTCAACCAACTAGACCCTAGAATAAACAGAAGGCCTTTCACAGAAGAAGAAGAGGAGAGGCTTCTCACCGCACACAGGATTCATGGCAACAAGTGGGCTCTGATAGCTCGGCTTTTTCCTGGAAGAACTGACAATGCTGTGAAGAACCATTGGCATGTTATCATGGCTCGAAGACAAAGAGAGAAAGCCAAGTTCCTCAACAGGAATAGCTCATCTAGTGCATGGCCGGCCTTCTCTACCTTCACGTTAACATCCTTACCTGGGACTGATCAGAAAAGGCCCAACTATGGAAGCTTGGAGAGTTCGCATTACATGAATATCCCTCTTCTTTCATTCTATGATTCTTACCGAGTCTGCTCCTTTAGTGGAAGTGGGATGATGAGGAATATGCAGGAAGTTTTGAGACTTGGGTGCAATTCAACAAGAGAAATTTTGAGTAGTAATGATAGAGGAGGTATTCAGTATCTGGAAGAAGATGGTGGTAAAGCTACCTTGATGAGGCGAAAGGATGTACCTTATATTGATTTCCTTGGTGTCGGCAAAGACTGTTGAGCAATGGTAGCGTTCAGTTATTGCCTTGGCTTGTTTAAAAATAAGTTGTGAACACTAGAGATGTCACTCACCATGGTATTTCTTTGAACTCTAAAATGGAGGTCTGAAATTCCAACCCCTGCACGAACATTAAAAAAAAGAACTATGAGAAGGATAGGTTTGATAGAATTTTTGCTTTTGGTGCTTTAATTTGATTCAATTAAGTTAAATTCACACACATCATATACGATAAATTTCATATAAAAAACTTCTTAATTATAGCTAAAACTTTCAACCAACAGATCTAAATGAGCTGCATGGTTTGGGAGAAATCGGTCAGCAAGTGTTTGTAGCTGTATTTGCTGATGATTTGGATGCAATAAATAGTGGTTACGTAATTAAGTTAAATTAATGTTGCAGAGCTCAATCCTTTTCATCAAATGATCATCCGGTAATTTTTTGTTATTGTTAAGCCACAAAATGGATGGTTAAAATATATTGATGGATGTGGAAATGAAAAGAGATTGTTCTTCACTAACAACCATAAATTTTTTTAAAGCTAAAAATTGATTTGATTATTTGTGTTTCTAGTTAAACTTTGATTCCATCAATTTAACAAGTGGCATTAATGTCAATGGCTTGAGTAGGATCATATGCTATTGATGTCAATGATTATACTAAGATCAAGTACTGATCATGAGATATGTCGTAGCACCCATAAATAATCGGTTCATTTTATGATGATTAAGGAAGTTTTTGGTCAAATGACTCTAGTGATGAATACAAAGTTAAGGGGGTTCATGATACATTAATTATACTTAGATTTCATTTGTAACGGCTTTTTTATTTCTTCTTAAAGCAGCTTTTTAGTACCAAAATTTTATTTTTTTAACTAAAAAGCTGCTTTGAAAATAGTAAAAAAGCTAATCCAAACGATGCATTAAAATAAAGAGAGACTAATAGATAATATAGAGAGTTCTCATGATGAGAGAGTACATATTTATAGGAGAAATTATTCTGTGCGGAAACAGGACGTAGAATGTCGTCCGAAGACCAACCAGAATGCGCACGCCACGTCAGCTGTACAGAGTAGTACCGAGCCACGGTACTGGCAAAAGGTGATGTGGCGCATTCTAGTTGGTCTCCGGATGGCATTCGATGTGCACACAGAATAATTCTTCCCCAAATAGAGCTTCAAATTTGATCACATATTAAATAGTTATAAAAATATGTTAGTATAATGATATTAATAGTTTGGTTCTCATCTCAAAAGAGTGAAACAATAAATTAGTCATTGATATATTAAGTCCATCTTGAATCTCATTTAATTCGAAGTTAATTAGCACATCTGATTGACTATTTGATCATTATTTAATTCAGAATCTTGTTTCAATTTAATTTGTTGAAAAAACTGTTGGATATTGCTTCAACCACCGATACTTCTATATCAATGGGAGAATGAGAGAACTTAAAGCGTTCAACTAAGCATTGTTACTAAGTATTTCGCCAAAATATCTCTCATAATTATAACTTTATTCATTTCAATGATCTAAGTTTTCGTAAGAAACAATACCACATTCAAACTAAAAAAATTCCCTATTTGTTATTTTTGTTTGACTGTTAAACAAGAAATTAAGGGCACGATTAATTATTCTCTAATTACTTTGACATCTCATAATGATATATTTATTAAAACTATCAGTTTTTTTTTTTTCGGTCTAACAATTATTCTATCATCTTTAGTGCTAAAACAATTTTGAGTTTAATTATATTTTTCAATTAAATTCGCTTTATTAGTCGCTTAAAAATGTATAAGCAAATTTTAATTACAATTTTCTTTAATCATTTTCTTAAGAATGTCATTATTATTTGAAGGGATAAAAGCACTTGCGACAAAAAATATATTATTAATTAGCTATATTTTTAATGAAAACGTTTGACTAAAATATATTTTTTGACTCCATCATACTATAATTTATAAAAAAGTGCAATTATAAGATTAAAAATGTGATTAAGGAAATTGATTATAGTCATGTTTTTTATAGAATGAGTGCCTAAATTTTAATATTTAGATTTCGTTTGGGACGGTTTTCATACTGCTTCTTAAATCAGCTTTTTAGTTCTCAAACAATTTTATTTTTGTACTAATTAAAATTTTGCTTTAAGAAGCATAAAAAAATCTATTTTTTTTATCGTATTTAGAAAGCTGTGACTATAATTAAAATTTATAATAGCGATTGGCCTTTCTTTCAATTTCCATTTTGATTGCATCAAGAAGTAAACTTATAGCTTTAGTGCATGGCGTAGTAATGTGCCTTTTTCTTCTAAAGAATAAACATCTAGTAACTTCAATATTATGCAACTGTATTAAATAAACTTTAAAAATTGAATGGTAGATTTAAAAGATTTAATTGGGGTTGAACTAACTGATGACATAATAAATATTAAAAATATTTTAAAATTACTTAAATGATGCATGTATTCATGTTATAATAATGATATTTTCTCTAATCTAATGTATAACATTTTAAATAAAGATAATTCACATTTGGATAATTTAAATATGATTCTAAATTAAAATTTTGGAATATGATATTATGATTATTTATAAGATATTCAGCTTTAAATAATAGTAATATTCGACTTATAAGCTTAAAAATATAGATTGAAGAGAGGCAATAACAAGTGTACATGGATAACATGCCCGCTCCGCTAGGGCAAATGCCCTAGCTTCTCCGGCAGCTCCTTCTGGGTGGTTTCACTGGTCGTGGTGGCTCCTCTACCTTAGGGCAGTTTTTCCTTCTCTTTCTAGTTGTTTCTTTGCTTTAGTTTTTGTGGTTTTGGTCGGTTTTTTCCGGCTTTTGCCGGCATGTCACCAAAACTGTGTGATCCTTGGTTTTTAGAATGTGTTTCCTCTTCTCGTTCATTTTTAGAGGTGCTTGCTGGTTCATCGTCTTCTCCTTCTTTTCCCGATTTGAAGGTGTCGTCTTATCGCGGGTTACCTTCTCTTTGGATTTCTGAGAATGAAATTTCGGCGTTGGCAGCTCCGTTCCAATTTTCTCTTGTTGGATTTTTCCCGTCTAAGCGTCCTTCCTTGGATGCGATCAGGTGCTTCTTCTTTAATTTGAAGTTACAGGGGGAATTTTATGTTACTCTTTTGGACCCGACACATATTCTCATTAAGCTAAAAAAATGATCTTGATTACTTTGGGTTTTTTGCCATGGTTCTTACCTAGTTTTTAATTGCTATATGAAACTTTCAAAATGGTCTCCCCTCGTGGACATTGGTGTTGAATCGCCGATTGTGCCCATTTGGATATCTTTCCCTTAGCTCCGTCCCCATCTTTTCTCTCCCAGGATTCTGCATGGTCTCGGTTTGATCTTTGGTAAACCGCTTAAAATTGACACAACCACTTCTATTGGTTCCAGGCCGTCTCTTGCTCGTGTCTTGGTTGAGTTGGATGTTACCAAATCTTATCCTGATAAGATTTGGTTAGGTCCTGAGCTTTCTGGTTATGTCCAACAAGTGCAGTTTGAAGATTTTCCTCAATTTTTCTCTTCTTGTAAGAAACTTGGGCACTCCTCTGGCAACTGTTGTCCGTTGTCTGATAATACGATTTTGGGTGAATCTCTACCTAAGGATCTGGTTTGTTCTGTTGCGGGTAATTGTTCTTCTCCTTTGGTTGAGATTGCTGTTAGTTCCCCCCGTTTAAATGATACTACTCTCGGTTTGTCTCCTGTGGTTCTGGTGCCCGCTGGTGATACGGTTTTGACTCATGTGGAAGTTATTGTTAATACCCATAATTATATTCCTGTAGTTGATCACAATTTGAATGTTTTGGCTGGGGATGTAGTTGATGATTTTCTGTTGGCTAAAAAGGTGGCGAACTCTGGGCCTGTTTGTGTTTCCCCTGTTTTAGTCGGTTTGGAGAATGTGGAAAATGCTGTGGTCAATGAGGTGGTTCAGGATGCTTGTGGTGTTGAGTATGTTGCTAGTTTATCCCCTGACGCTCAACCTTTTACTCTTGTGGGTTTGCTTTTGGCCACCAATCGTGTTTCTCATAGTGCTGAGGACCTTCCTCGTAAGGCTCCTTTGGTGTCTGTGAGGTCTGGCCCTACTACTTTGGTTGGTCATGCTCTAAATTCTGTGGAGTTGGATTGCCCGGTTAAGCCTGCTGTCGTGGAGAGTTTGGGTGAGGAAGTGTGTAAGGTGTCTGTTTCTGGTAACTCTAGTCCTACTCCTAATGACAGCTTAGTGATTAATGATTATGTTAATGTTCCTGTTACTTTTATGGAGCCCCAAGGATTAATATATCATGTAAAGGATAATTCGGGCATTGAAGTGAGAACCCACCTGGACTGGCTTCATGACTATAGTACCGATTTCGATTCTGCTTCTGATTATGTTGAATCAATCGGAGATGGCGATCCTAGCAATTCTTTTAATTTGTTGCGTGATCTACCGGTTGATCGATTGCCTCTCCTGGTAGACCTCGTGGCCGGGGCAGACGTGGTCGTTGAATGTTGGATTTTGTGATGTTTTGGGGTTGCTGATTGTGTTGCTTTTCTTTTGTTGGTATGCCTTTGTGGCTTGTTGGTTGACCAATCAAATGGTTTTGTTTTGGACGATGAGGAAGCAGCGTGGCCGCAAGCGTCGTGGATGGCCAGGGTTGGTTGGCAACCTGGTTGGCCCTTCTTTTATGAATTTTCCAGTGGATGGCCCTGCCCTGGCAACCCGGTGCTGGTCTGAGTCCGACTTTATCGATCTTTAACTTTTTTCGTCTTTGCTTTGTTTTTATGTTATTCTTGTAAGATTATGTTGTGGCCAGATGTGTGGTCTTCTTTTGTAACCTTCTTTCATTAATGGATTTTTATTTTTTTTTTCAAAAAAAAAAAAAAAGATTGAAGAGAGGTTGAACTTTCTAGAACTCGAAATATTTTATTTTATCCATTCAATTAAAATCAAAATATCATAATTTGATCTATATTCGTAAATCGTAATGGCCGGTTCATAAAAAATCAGACATGTTCACTGATTCTCCAGTTCAACAATCAATTCAACCTTATTCTAACCAGTTCTTTGCAAAATTGTTTTTTATGCTACACCAAAGTGC